TACCAAGCCACCTTCGTCTCGCTCCAGAACTCCTGGAGCGAACATCAAGTCAGCTTCATTTCACTGCACCACCCAGGCAAAATGCAGCTGATTTTACAGTTAAAGTGCATTTATTAAGGAAAAGTTCAACTGAGACACATCTTTGCTAGATTGAGCATGTATCAGGATATCTTTGCTATAATTTCAAGCAAACAAATAAATGTTTTTAAGTGTTAATCTTGTTAAATTCTTGTTAAAGCCTTCCCATGCATTCTCCCGCGGCCGCCTTTGGCAGCCAGTCGATTTTTGGCACAGCACCGACCCATGTTTCTGGGTTGTCAGCGGTGACGCATAATAGATGTGACGTATACGGCAAAGCGATGTGTATGGCGGAAAGTACAGTGAATGTTTTTTAAAGTGCCCTGAGACACCATGTGTTGTGAAATGGCAAACTGAATCAAATTCAATTAAATTTTTCATTCAACCTTTATTTATACAGGTAAATCCCATTGAGCCTCGAGGACTCATTTACAAGAGAGACCTGATTTCAACAAAGAATGATGACAACAATGGACAACAGCAACAACAATAGACAAATGTAAAAAGGCATATAGATTTTTATTTTTATTTATTTTTTTACAAATAAAGGCAAAAAAAGTAACAAAAAACAGCTAGATTCTAAGGCAAATGTAGAAAACTAAAAACAGGAACATGTCAGCATTGGACCCTGCCAGGAGTCCAACAGATTCTTAAAGACACTTAGAGAGGTCAAAGGTCAAGAGCTTCAAATCTTTTTGTAAGATATTCCAGGAAACAGGAGCAGAATAGGAGAAGACCCTTTTGCCTAGTTCAGTCCTCACTGAGGGAACACTGCAGGTAATAAAGTCCTGAGAGCGCACGCTGTAGCTGCACTCACGCAGAGACATGTAGGAGGAGATGTATGAAGGCAGCAGACCAAGAAGTGATTTAAAGATGAAAATGTACCAGTGAGAGAGTCTGCGTGAAGTTAATGATGTCCAGTTAACCAGTGAATACAGGGTGCAGTGGTGGGTACGGTAGTTACAGCCAGTTATGAATCTTAGTGCACCATGATAGACAGCATCCAACATCTGCAGGGTTCTTGTAGGAGTGTGCATGTAAATAATATCACCGTAATCAATGGAGGGAAGGAAAGTCACAGTTACAAAGCGTTTTCTAGCATTCAGGGTTAGACAGGATCTGTTTCTGAAAAAGAAACCCAGTTTAACTTTAACTTTCAGTTTCTTTACTAGGTTTTCCACATGGAGCTAAAAAGAGAGATGCGAGTCGACCAAGATACACAAACTCAATCGGGACACCATTTGAGGATAAAATCAGAGGAAGAACTGCTGGGACCGACTTCCTGTTTGAAAAAAAGCATCCCTTTGGTTTAGTCGGCATTTAGGACAAGTTTGAGGCGGAACAAATCTGTCTGGATGATGTCAAATGCAGATTTAAAAAACTGGAAAGCCTTATCAACTGTTTTAGCTCGACAATAATCAACTGTGTCATCAGCATAGAAATGTATGGATGCATCAGGGATGTTTTGACCTACGTTACCTATGCAGATTGTAAAGAGGGTGTGTCCTAAGACAGAGCCTTGTGGTACACCATTGTTGACTGTTAAATAACTGGAGGAAGTAGCATTATGTTGAACACATTGCCTCTGATCTGAGAGATAGTTAGAGAACCAACCAATGGTGTGTTCTTAGAAACCGATTTCTGAGAGCTTATGACACAAGATGTTATGATCCACAGTGTCATCAGCTTTAGACATGTCTAAGAAAAGTGCAGCACAATAATCCTTTGCATCCAGTGCTTCAAAAACGTCATTAAGAACCTTCAGTGAAGCAGTGGTTGTGCTGTGTTGTTTCCTGAAACCAATTAAAAGACAGACAAGAAGCTTGATGCCTGTGTAGACTTTAATGTGAATCTAGAGCTATCAAATGGTCCAAAATGTTTACTTGTGTAAATACCCAGAGAAAATTATGCTATATTCCATTTACTGCAAAAATTATATATATATATAAAAAAAAAACTTCACACCCAACCAACAGTGTTCCAGTTCTAGGTAGTAAAAACAGAAGCATTTGCCAATTGTTGCGCTCAGTGACCAGGCTAACTACTGTAGGTAGCAACATGCTACCTAATAGAGGTTATACAGTTTGTGTTTGGTTTAATTTCATGCAAAATATCAGAGAAAAACGTTCATTAGTGTAACTATCACATTATTTTAATGTATGCGGCAGGCATATTGTGTGGTTGATGAAAACGCTCTTTTTGCAGGTTGGAATTGTGATCATAGGACTGTTCCAGTTGATTCTTTGTAACTCAGAACTTGGAAAAAAAACACGTTCTTGGTCCAAATAAATACAAAATTTACCCAAGTGCATGAGTGAAAAGCAGACTAAGCTCACGCCCATTGACTGCTGGAGATAGGCATCAGCTCCTCATGACCCTGAACAGGAAATAGCCTTAAACGGCAGCCCAAGAGTAGTGAGATTTAAAAGCCTACGTGCTGTACAAACTCCATTCAGAGCACATGGCTCACTACCAGTGGTGATAAAAGTGTCAACTCTCAGCTCATATTAGTCCAAAGATGACATTTGTAAATAACTGTGCCAGAGCTCACCTTTGGAACGTTTTCTATAGGCTGTCACCAATGCACCAATCCAATCGGTCAACTTGTTCCCAGAGTTAAGGGTTCAGTTTCACTAAAGGCCAATAAACCTCTGTAAATATCTTGACTAAGTTAAATGCTTCTTGACCTTTCTTTTCCCAACAGTTGGTGTCGGATGATGAGAGCAGTAGCATGAAGGTGCTTCCCCTCAGTGACGACCCATCCCCACTGATCGAGGACAGCCAGACTGTGTTGGAAGACTACATTGACGCTGTAGAGTACAGACGTGGTCCACTCAATCCTGACCAGCACCAAGCAGGTCTAGATGATAAATCCTCCATCTACACCCTGACCAACATTGTTCCCCTCATCACAGACTTCATGGAAATGTCTTGGAACCCATACTTAGATGTCATCCGTCAACGACTCAACAACTTCTGCCACGGCAAATCTTTCATTGTGACAGGGGTAACGGTTTCAGGGGCCACAATCAAACGTAATGACAGGGATCGCCTGTCTATACCAAAATATTTATGGTTGGCGTACTGTTGTCCACGGTTTGACCGTAACTCACCATACGAGGTGAGATTTATGTTTCCAGGTTACGGGGGATATGCACTGAATGAACAAACAGGCAACAGAGTGGTAGAGGTACCTTTAAAGACTCTGGAGACTTTCCTGAGGAGCCAAGCAGACATAGACAATGACATGACTATTTTCTACAAGGGTTGTGTCCCAGAAAACACCTTCAAGAAGAAAAGAGACCTGCCTACTGTTGAACAACAACCAGTATAATAGATCTATTGGAAAGTTCATACTGGAATAAACTTTAACCAGTGCAGTGTTAAGTTGGTTCAGATGAAAATTTGAGAAATGTGACGAGTTGTGTTTAACTCAATCCCAACCAGTGTTAGCCAAATGTAGACACACAGAATTGGGTCTTTCTTTGGTCACACTAAGAAAAAATGTCCTTGTAGCACATTGTGAAATGTAACATACTCCAGAGTTCATTTACAAGTGATTATACGCAAAAATGACTGAAAACATTGGATATACTCTGTGTTCTCAGAACAAAAAATTAAACTTTTACCAAAACATCCAGGCCATTTCTAAGGTACTGAAAGAGGTCTGCTGTTTAATGATCCCAAACTCAGATCAATTATTGTTTCCTGCAAGGGTTTTATGTATTTATTTACTTTATGAAGAATCATTCAGATTAAATGCAGTTTAGTCTCTCATTATAATATTGTAAATAAAATTACTTGGACTTTTTCAAGTTCAAGTTCAAGGAGGTTTATTATCATTTCACCACATGTGGTACACGAGGTGGAACAAAATTGTGTACACATTTCCCAGTTACATCCAACAATAGCAAAAATATAAAGTGAATAAAGAAACAGTAAATAAGGATCTAAGATATAAACTAAAATATACGCCAAACACTAATAATGTAAAACAATGGAGCGTAACAACAGCAGCACGAACATGAGTCCATGTGTAGTGAACTAAGCCTCAGGTCAAAACCTGGACCTTCCTGGGACAGGAACTGTTATTTCATTGATTTGAGTCCAGAAATACAAATTAAGCTCATCCAGAGACTTCTAAGTGTGTCCTGCACTAATCAATTGAAAGAACACTCTCTTTTTTATTATCATTACTATTTTACAATATCTTGATAATCAAAAGTGTGTTTAGTTCAAATCATTTTTAAATGTTGAAGTGAACTACTCATTTTAAATCAACTGTGAAACAGTATTAATGATTTTTAATCCTCATTCAAAGTAGAAATCAAGTTAATGTCTGTTACAGAGTAATTATTCATTTTCTTGATCTTCTGTCTGAAATGAGCAAGTTGTGATGTCGGTCAAAAGTCGGAGACAAACGCAAACAAGTTTATTGAGCAGTTGGGTACGAATGAATACAGCATCATGAAATAATCAGCAGCATGAGATCAGCAGCATGGATAATCAGCAGCACATATCACCAATCAAAGTGGCATTGATTGGCATTTTGATGAAACAGTATACGTACAATGTTTGTATGGTTTATAACGTTTTTATTGTTAAAGAAATTTCATGGTTGTGAAATTCATCATGGCGGTCAAGAGTCTTTGAATTAAAAAAAAATTGCAGGATAAATATGTGGATTTGAGAGAAGACTGACCACCTGGTTGGAAAGGACAAAGGTCTTTCCATCTGTCGGTGAACAGACATTTGCCTGTTGAGGTTCCTGTGGGTGGATCTACTGAAGTGTGAGGGCTCTGTTGCTTTGCATACTGATTCCAGATTACCCTGAGCAAAGTGTGACACTGGTGTTAACTCCATGAGACGTACTCAGATCCCTTCTAACTGGAGTCCTGCACGTCCAACAGCTCTACACCATTATGGCGTTTTGGTTACAGATGGGTTTCCTGCTTGGAGCCGTAACATCACCAGTGGTGAGAGGGAGAGTGGAAATAGAGCTGTCTCCTGAATGCAGAGAGTTTCTCTACATGGGGACACCACCAACAGGTCTGGAGCACCACTCCGTCACGTACATTTGTCAGTTTTACAACAAGAAGCCGCGGTATGTGACTCTGTACAGCACGGAGGATCACATACCCATCTACTCTGCTTATACCTTCAAGCGCACTGATGGGGAGATATGTGTGGATGTTACCTGGATGTATGAGCCACAGGTAAAGGAAACTAGAATGTTAGTCAAAGGCTTTGGGTCTAAGATGTATGAAACCATCGTTTTCTTTCTGCAGATATTCATCTAAATCCCAGTCCTGTAAAGCTTCTTGTTTTTCCTTTCCATTGCACAGCTATCCACGTCCTCTGACACAGGCGAGATGCAGCCCTTTCCTAGTGGCTACATGCACAAGAATTTCGAAGACGTCCAAGCAATTCTGGACGACTACATAAACGCCATAAACTATGAACGCGGTACCCTCAACCCAGACGAGCATCAGAACGAACTGGATGACAAGGCCTCCACCTACACCCTCACCAACGTTGTTCCGATGTCGCCCAACGTCAACAACAGAGTCTGGAACGATCAGGAGCACGTCATCCGCAAACGTCTCAACAACTACTGCCTAGGAAAGGCTTACGTTGTGACAGGTGTCACAACCTCGGGGATGATGATCCACAGAGAAAACATGAACCGCATCGCAGTTCCCACCTACTTGTGGTCAGCCTATTGCTGCGTTATCTTCGACCGCAACGCCCCCTTTACCGAACGGTACAAGTTTCCATCATTTGCTCATTACAGCCTCAATGAGGAGGAGAACAAGGATGTGGTAGAGGTCCCTGTCACAAAGCTTAAGGAGTTCCTCAGGAGGACCACGTTTGTAAACCAGAACTTTCAGATCTTTGTGGGAGACTGTATGCCCCCACCATCCAGTAAAACTGAATAAGATCAAACATTAACTATTGATTATTGAGCATGTATCAGGATATCATACATTAACGTGTTATTATACTTTGTAAAGCAGAAAAATACAGCGGCTACTGTATAAACACTTATTTTCGAGCGGCTTCGGATGTTATCAGCCCATTAAATGGCCGTTATTATTTGTTATCATCCCCATATGTAGCGGTGAAACTGCCCCACCTACCTCCTAGTAGGTTCAAAGGTACGTTATTATTGCTGATAATAGGCAGCGTCACACGGGGGTAAACCAGGAAGTGTCTTTTCTGTTTTTTTTTCAGCTCGCGTAACCCTTTTCCTAAACGTAAGCTTACACGTGACCCAGAGGACCAACCCTAAACTTAACCCCCTTACCCTTGTGCCTAAACCTAACCAAGACTGAAACCTAACCGCTAGACCCTTTACTGTAAACCTAACCACGTGAAGCTATTATGAGCGGTAATGGTAAAAACATCGCTAACAACGTACATTTAAACCCACTAGGAGGTACAGGAGGGGCAGTCTGACTGCTACATATGGAGATGATAACAACTAATAACGGCCATTTAATGGCTGATAACATTCAAAGCGGGTGTATTTTCCATTCAAGTATCAATTTCAACTTGTCTGAAACCAAAAAAGCCAAAGGGATATCAACCATCATGCTATTGTCTACATTAGCATTTGTTTGACTACAAGATGTTAATATGACGGCTGTGAAAGTGGAAACAGACCTTCATCGTGACATTTCTTAAACATGCTCAATAATCAGAATGTTGTAGATGTTTGTTTGCATCAAATGTACCTAAACTTATTGAGTAAATAAAAACAATGCTAAAGAAAGTGAGGTGCCATCTTCTGCTTTTTGCACAGCGTGACAATCAGAAAATGATCATAAAACTTCCTGACATGAACAAAGCTCAGTTATTTGTAATGGATCAGATAACGTGCACTTCTCCTGAATGTCTACTATTTTTTATCATTTATCATTTTATTCATCTGAAAACACACGGACTGACTCTGAGTATTACTGGGATTTCCTCCCAAACAGGCCCATGTTGTTACCAATTACAATCCCTGTGAATATGGTTTCAAATAAGTCAGCATTAGTATTCCTTTTTTTGTGCAAATATAATAATTAACGTAAACGCAAATATTGGAATGGAGTCCTACTAAGACATGTCGATGTTGTGCGTAAGAGCCACAATAAAATGCTGGTAGACTGATAACATTGACTGTTTTCAACTACTTCTGGAACATTTGAATATAGGGAAAATGCTTCATAAAGAGAGATCAGTTAGCTTGAAGGACAAATGAAGATAGAACCGAGACAGAGGCACTTTTAGACAGCGGTGGACTTCCAGTTGTGTGCACCAGCAGGAGCAGAAAGGTCTAAACGGACACCAAGAAGCCAAACAACCGAGCGACAATAAACGACAGTGATGTCTTCTACAGCTGCAAACTGTGCTGCGACCCTGGCAGCTGTTGTCACGATGCTAACCTGTGTGTTTCTGCAGGGGGTCCAGGCAGGAGTAGTGGTGGACTTCAACCACGCAGAGCGCTGTAAGGACTTTCTGTTCATGGGCACCCCTCCAAGAGGCTACCTGGGCAGCTCCTTTAAGAAGATCTGCCAAAGGTATGAGGACAAACCCTGCTACGTCACGCTGTATGACCCCCAGAAACACATCCCCGTCTACTCTGCATACACCTTCAAGAAGACCGACGGAGAGAAGCAGGTGGACTTCCCCTGGATGTTTGAACCTCAGGTGAGTTAAGGTTTATTCTACAACAAAGAAATGGATTCTCCATTGAGATGGAGTCAATGTTCAGTCTTGACATCAAAGTAAATCCAACGGTATGTTTTGCCTGATTCTGTAGTAAAGTAAAGTAGCTTAAATGTATTTTTTTAAAGGCAACAGTTGTTTCATATACTGGTATATCAGTCACTATTGCTAAAGGTGTCTTTAGATAAACTCTTATGGTCCCCCAGTGAGATAGTGTTGCCATCAGTATGTGCAAAGTTATCACTCATATTTACGATCTAGTATTCTTTGATGGAATGTATATCGTCTGCCATATGACAATTTTAATTCAATATGGGGTAACACTTTACAATCAGGTACACAAAATTATAATAGCCAGGCCATGATTTGGTATTCAGTACGTGATAGTCAGACATAGTTAGGATGGCAGCAATACAAGATGATGAAATTACTAATGTCTTTCATCAATAGGTTTACAAAAGAGAAAATCTAATAAAATCAGTAATCACTGGGAAACAGATTTTGACAATTACGAGATGTGACCTCACCGGTGCAGGGTTTATTCAGAACCCACATGGAGAATTTCTCCTCTGTTTCTGTGGTGACTAACCAGAAGTCCACAATTGGCAATGTGTTCCCCAGTAAGTACTAGCTCCTGATTTGTTCCTGAGGTGTTCCCTAGTAGTTAATCAAATTTTGTGTACCTTACTGTAAAGTGTTACCAATTGTACCTCATTATTTGTAACTCTGAGTACATTATACCCATTTTTGTATTGGCGTATGCAGATTTCTTGTGGCATCCATCTTGAATTGCTAACAGGCAGAAAGTATTCACTCCAATAGTCAGTGTCAATCAACAGATCTTGCGGCATCAGTGAGTGTAGGGGTGTCCAATCCTGGTCCTCGAGGGTTAATATCCTGGATGTTTTACTTGTTTCCCTGCTCCAACACATCTGATTCAGTGACTGAATTACCTCGTCAAGCTCTGTAGAAGCCAGTTAATCATCCATGCATTTTAATAAGGTGTTAAAACATGCAACACAGTAACCCTTCTAATCACGATTGGACACCCCTGATAGTGCTTTGAGTATGTTGCTGATGACTCTCAGACACTACAACATCAGATATTATCTGTAAAATACATCAGTAAAACCAGTGAGTTGAAACCAGTATTTCTTTTGTTTGCTAAGTGCAATAAAATGGGTTTTAAAGAGGAAATTAGTGACTGTACTGTCAAGTATATCTTCAGAAATGTGTTTTTATCTGTCCCTCTGTCTGTAGTTGGCCTCAGAGAAGAGCAGCAGCAACATGGAGCCCTTCCCCCAATCTATAAACATGCACATGAACTTTGAGGACACCCAGGCCGTCCTGGAAGACTACTCCGACGTGGTTCAGTATGAACGAGGACAATTAAATCCCAATGAACACCAGGCGGACCCTCTAGACAAAGCCTCCACCTACAGCTTGACCAACGTTGTGCCTCAGATTAGGGAGTTCAATATGGGTCCTTGGACCGAACACCAGGATGTCATCCGCAAACGCCTCAACAACTACTGCCGAGGAAAAGCCTTCGTGGTCAGCGGAGTCACCACCTCAGGACACACGATCCGTCGCAACAACATGGATCGCGTGGCCGTTCCAGAGTACATGTGGTCAGCGTACTGTTGCACAGAGTTCGACCAAAACGCACCGTACTTTGTGCGCTACAAGTTCCCCGTGTTTGGAGCTTACGGGCTCAACGAACGCATCAACAACCAGATGGTGGAGGTTCCTGTGAAGAACCTGGAGAAGTTTCTTAAAGGCAGGATGAACGTGGATAAGAACTTCCAGATTTTCTACAATGACTGTGTGCCAGAAAACTAAGGCAAAGTGCGATAGGTGTTAAAAAGTTAATGGTGAAAAGGTTTATGGTTGAAGTTAAAAATATAATTACAAATAGTCAAATTCTACCCAATACTGCAATGAAGAAAATGGACAATTCTATTTGAACCTTGCCACTTTCTCAAAATGTCCATTTATTTATTCTGACCAGTCATAAAGTAATAAAGAAGCTGAAGATCCTACATGATGCTTTGGTGAAATTTAACATTAAGACCTCAATTAAAAAATAAATAAAAAAAATGAAGATTTAGCATTTGAGGATTTAAAGGTAAAAATAGTTTGAAATGTTTATTGTAATTGTAATAAATAAATAAACAAAATGCAATGTTGAGAACTTGTCTTGGAAATAGAAGTTGGCTCCACATCTAGACAAAGAAACCACTCTATGGTATGAAACGTATATGATTTTCATGTTATTCACTTAATTGATAAAATAATATTACAACTGTTTTCTCTCAATTGGTTATATAAGATTAAAATCCAAATCCAAACTCTATTTTATTTTTTTTATTGTGACTTGAAAATTCTAGTAGAGGGGGGTGAGATGGGGCAGAGGCAGGGCAGCCGACCTGGGTCCCGAAAGCCCCCGTCTTGATCCCCAGCCATTCCCACATGTCGTGGCGTCTCTGAGCAAGACACACAATCCCCAATTGCTCCCCGGGCGCCCACATAGTTGCCCACTGCACTGGTTGCATTCCAGGTAGAGTGGTCCAATTCAATTCAATTCAATTCAAAAATACTTTATTAATCCCAGAGGGAAATTATTTGTTGTTGTAACT